GATTTATTTGCTAGGAAAGTTTATTTACTATGTCGTGCTAGATAATTTTTTCTTACCAGAATCTACATATTTATAAGGCTACAATTCGTGCATGCTTTGAATATTGCTGCCACATCTGCGTTGGTGCTTCTGCTATGGTTCTAGAGATTCAACATAAAAATAAAAGGAATAATCTGAAATGTTTATGGTCCTGACCTGGAAGGTCGACTTCGGTTATTTTCCCACCGCCTTCATGTACCTTAAACGTGCCTTTTTTTATAAATATTTTCACGTTGTTCTTGTGGACTTTTCCTCTTTGCTATATAGACTTAATGCATTTGGACTACTCAGCGTGAGTTATGGTTAACAAGCTTGTCTCGCTAAAACAATTACGACTGAGTAGTGAGTTCGATCCTCATTGCATGGCCCAGTTGTGGCAGAGCTAAGCTTGGAAAATCACTATTGACTTAAAAAAAATAAAGAATGCTAGATTGGCGGCAAAGTCTCATCATTTTTCAGTTCAAATGTAGCCTCAAGCTATCAGTTTCTTCTCTCGCACTTCTCTCTTGTGAAACTGTCTTCCGACTTCTTGCTTTCCAGTTAACTTTGATCTTTAAATATTTAAATGTAAAGCTAATCGTTATCTTCTGTCTTCTTAATTCCTTTTCTTTTATTGTTCTCTCTCCTTAATAATGTCTTTTCTTGTATTCTCTCACACACAATAAGTCATTGCATCTTAGCAGCTTTATTGTCTTGCTTGTGGTAAAGTAATTAAAAATCAAGGGTATCTGAATAGTATGAAGGAAACGAAAATATCAGTTTCTCGTCTACTGCAGTGCTATTGGAAGTGAGATTTGGTATCAGTCCAAAAATTGCTCAAGTTCCATTGCTAAGGAGAAAGTTATTACTGAGGAACGACCCTCCTGAGACTCGAGCATGAAATTAATTTTGAAAAACATCGACCAAACAAAGTGTAGTATTTGTGCACTCTATGGAATGTTTGAAACCTAAATCTTCAGATTATTTATCTACTTACGCATATCCTGTGTCTTTAACGCCTTTAACCATTCCGGAGAAACAAAAACAAAAAAAAGAATTCATTTTGGTGTGGTTTAGTCAGAGAATATTGTGTCGCAGGCGCTATCTGGTTCCATGAAATGGAAGGAGGAAAGATAGAAATGTTGGAAAGAAACGTGAAAAAGAAACAATCATTTAACTTTTGCGTTTAATGCCGCCTTTGTAATATTGTTAAAATTTTATATGCAGCAAAAAAAAAAAATCATATTCATTCCAATAAATCAGACTATTATATTTTATTATTTTGCAATATGAAATATTTCTTCGAACTATTATTTATTCCTTTTTTTCTGTTTCTTTGGTAACACGTGACACATGAATAACGTGAAAAGAGAAAAAGGCAAAGAGAAAGATGTTGACGATTCGTGACCGCTGATGACTGAGATTGGCGCCAGTATGAAGAAAAGGCAAAAAGAGATGGAAGGGGATGATTTAAATTATTTATTCTTCTTCAGTTGATTAATGCACTTCAGAATTAGGAAACTTATAAAATAAAAATGATCGAAAATTAACAAAAATCGGATTACCAGAGACTGATAAATGAAAGAAAAAACAGAAGCCTTTAACTTCAAATATTTTAATTCCCAAAATTAACCGAAGCTATGTTTTCACGTTCACTATAAAATGCAACAATATTATGGTTTTTAAATATAGAATATAATATAAAATAGCGCATAGTTAATGCTTACGGTAAAAAATAATAAATGCTTGATATAAAATAACAGAGTTGACATTTATGACGAGTCTTGTAAGTCCTGAGGGTCGTAAAAGCACCACATGTACTGTAACCGGAGTGCTGTGTCCTGTTCAAGATAACCTGATGGAGCCCAATCCTATCTAAGCTGGTTTGATTTCACAGCTTTCCTTCTTCTAGACTGACGAGCAACCAAGGCTATAGAGCCCAGTCTGTCTTGCTATTTACCCGTAACTGGAGAGAATAAATCGATGCATACCTTTCCCAGTGAATGCCGTGAACCCAACTGAAATTTGAACTCGGTACTCCGATTTCTCCACCATGCCTTCATAAAATTTATACTAAGAATAAATATGCATTTGTTCATCACTGTTCGATGCAATCTGACACATAAACGATGAGGATAGATATGAACACATATTCCTTAATTCGTGCTTTATTAAGGAACATAATATGGATCAGAAGATTAGGACTATGAGATCTAGTTTAAATGGTCAATTTGTCAAGGAGTTAACAGTTTTCTACTAAGTATTCACCGAATACAAAACCCAAGAGTCTCTCAAGGTAGAGGTTTAATGACGGTAGTTAATGTGCGGCTGTTGGGGGGAAGTAAGTGTAGATTATGAAGATAGGTAGGATAGACAATGATAGACTGTAATGTTCAGGACTCATTTCCACAAAGTAACGGTTCTTTGAAAGAAGCTCTCTAAGTGAAACTTCCATGTTACTAATGGAATACAAAGTGAGGATGATTCGATCCTGTGTACGTGGCATTGCGGTCTTAGCTCTAAAGGTCAGAACTGGTGGAACTAAGTAATGTAGCTGGTCTGAACATTTGCTATGGGAATAGCAATGGACTAGTCATAGGCATTCCACGCTTTGTTTATGCGAAAGGGGCTATAAGGTTGAAAATAAATAACTGTCCACAAGACATGCATAAACGCTTCTGATGTCTATCAAAGTGATGACTGGCAGCTCCAGACCAGATATGGCTGCAATATTCCATTTTGGTCTGATCTATCTAAAGATAGCGCACGACAGGAGTAGTAGTTCAAGAAACTGACCATTTTTTTCTCGGATCTCTTGCAATGGATAATATATATGAGTCCCACTTGAAGCCTGGGGTAAATTTGTGCCCCAATAGAGATTCAACATAAGGAACTTATTCTAACTTAATAATACTGGTCTGAAAAGACGATCCCTAGATCGTCCTGGGCATGACACATCGTCTACAAAGGCCCCTGATCGTGAGGTTTCAGTAGCGTGGAACTACGTCTTAATTGATGTTGTTCCTAGATTCACTTTGTCCCAGAGTGGTAGCACCAGTTAGGACCCCAGCTATGGGCAAATAGCTAACACCCAAACTAGAATCAAATCACTATGAAAATATTAAAAAATATAGTAAAAATACCAGCAGTACAAATTCATATTAAAAAAAAAAAATTAAAGATCAAACTTTTTGTAAGGAAAAAAATGACCAGCAATACATTTTTGTCAAAGACAGTAATAATGCTCCCAAGAAAATTAAATTTCGTCATTAAGTGATCCATGAGGAGTTGATATGCCACTAAAAAAAAACAAACAAACATAGGAAACAAAAAAAAAACCTGGATGACTTACCGTTGGAAAGTGTATAGAAAATTCCCTATGATGACTCAAATATTTTTGAAGAAACACTCTTCGCAAGTCACCGATGCTCGCACAATAACCGGGGGTTTGAGCTTATTGGTTTTTCAATCTGTGGGAAACTACAGAATATACGCTCAGAAAATATAACTAACGTTCAATCAGCATAATTACAGTATTCACCATTGACTCTGCGAAAGGAAAAGAAACCAAAAAATGCGCCCCAACAAAGATTAGCTAGTAAACCTATCCATGGACGTGATCGGGATCTCGAATATACAGGGCTTCTTCAACTGGTAATCACACACTGTTTACTCATTCCTCCACGAGAATGAGATGTGACACAAGGTCGGATTAATGTAGGGACCCGAGCGCGCGCAAAAATTCCCCTCAGCCCCCGCAACCGTCGGTTGCGCTGGCCTCGGTGCAAGCACCGATCCCTCCCTCTTGTGCAATGAGAGGGCGCGGCCTCAGGCAGCTGTTCCCCGGAGCTGGGCACCTCTCAGTATAATTTTCCTCAGTTGTCCCTCTGTCCTTTGACAGAGAAGCCCCTGAGCGCACTCTGTCCAAGGAAAGATACGCAACTTAGAGATGATAAAGAAATGTGTTAGAAGAGAGGTTTACACGGTAACTGGTGATCACACTTGATTATGCATTCTCTCTTAAAATTTATAACAATGGTTTTGCTCGGCACAGTTACAGGTTATATGTGTAGATATTAAGTAAAAGTAGAAATGGCTGAGCGAATGTCTATATCAGGGATTACTCAGCCACAATAGCCGTTACTGTGACTACTCGCGGGCAGTGGCTTTGTAATTCAGATTATGGAAAGCTGAGCTTTTAATAGAACTCCAATGCTAGCCCCTAGCGTTAGTCTCAAATTCCCTTTTGGATCTAGCCACAGAAAAGACGCATGGTGTCTATACATAAAAAGAAGAAAGAAATATTAAGCCATTAAAAGTACACGAATAACAAGCGCATGTTTCGTCTACATGAAAGAAGAGAGAGAAATTCAAACATTAAATTGACAACATAAAAATGTACATAGAAAATTATAATGACCGAACTAAAAGACCATCTGAAAGTATATCTGTATTCGTCGAACAGAAGTTAAAATGCAGAAATGAAAATAGACAGTGACGATGCTCAAAATATCACGGAGTCACGCGCATGCGTTCTGACGTATGCGCTGTGGTTGAGAAACTCACACATGCGCATTCATATATTCATATATGTTTCGTTTAATAAACGTACAGAAGGACTATGGCATTTTCATACACAGAGAAACGTGCAGGGGTCTAGTTCACGTGCATTTCTCAACATCCAAATAAATGGGCCTCCCCCAGGGGACATCTAATTTTAAGAAAATGTTTGTAAACATGTAAAGATGTCTCACGTAATGAATGTTGGTTGGCCGAGATAATAACTAATTTTCAAGGGGAAATTAACTTTGAACCAACTGCCAATATTTATCATGGGAAAATTAAAAGAACAAAATAAAACAGAAAGGAAAAATGAAAAGAAAACGAAAGAAATGAAAGGAAACTATTTGTCAGTCCTCTTTTCATTTTTTTTTTTCGTTGCTTGCTGAATTAAATTTGTAAGAAGGATGGCGAAAAGAATGCTAGAGGAGAGGGGTGTTTATGGGAGGAGGAAGAAACGTTGAAGAACAAAGCAGGTGAAATGAAGGAAAGTAAAAAGTAGTTAAAAAGAGGAATAGGCGAAACGAAAGCTGTATAATTATAAATGATGGCATGAAGAAAAAGAAAATTAAACAAGAAGAAGAAGAAAAAGAAAGTATGAAGAATGGAATGAAGTAAACGATGAAAAAATGAAAGGGTCTCAACAAGCAACCAGTAAATGAAGACAACGTCAATGAATATGAAGAAATAACAAATAAAAGTAAGATTACAACGAAGAAGAAGAAGGAGGAGGAGATGAAGAAAAAATGAAGAAGAAGGATGATGATGAGAAGAAGAAGAAGAAGAGGGAGAAGAAGAAGAAAAAGAAAGTAAGAAGAATGGAATGAAGTAGACGACGAAAAAAATTAAAGGGACTCATCAACAAGCAAGTAAATGAAGACAACGACAATGAAGATGAAATAACAAATAAAATTAAGACGTCGACGACGACTAAGAAGAAGAAGAAGAAGAAGAAGAAGAAGAAAAGGTGATAGAAGATATGAAAAGAAGGAAAAATAAAGAAGGAAAAGTAAAAGAAGAAAAAGGAAAGGAAGAAATTTAAAAAATCAGAATAGCAGGAGAAAGAGAAGAGAAGTGAGCGGAAACAAAGAGGAAGTAGAAAGAGGAAGAATGGAAAAAAGACGGAGACACGACTAAAGAGAAAAAAGGAAAGAATTCATTCAGAAAACAAAGACGAAAAATAAGATGAGAAAGAAAAAATAGATGCGAAAATTAGTACGAGGAAAGGAAACAAAGAATGTTATCAACAATAGTAGTCGAATAAAAAAAAACTATTAGATGGATAAAGGAAAAAAACTAAAAAAGGAATGATGGTGTAAAAATAAGAAAAAGGGAGATTACAAAAAAAAAACAAAACAAAAGACGAGGAATGAAAATTAAAATGAAGAAAACAATAAGATAAACGCTTTAAAATATTAAAAAAGCGAGAAAAAGAAATAAGACTAAAAATACAGAGAACATTCTGACGTATAAAAAAAATGAAAAAAGAACTGACGAAAAACATAGTAGAATAGGGAATGAAAGAACGCATAAAATCCAAACAAGGGAAAAAACAGGATAGGCAACTAGCAAATAAGAAAAAGATGAATGAATGAGAGAAAAAAGAAGACTGAAAAAAAAGGTGTAAAATGTTAAAAATTGAAAAACTTTGAAAATCCCTAGATGAGGAAGAAAACTAGAATTAAATGATAATGTCAAGAAGGAGTGGACAGAGTAAAAGTCCTGAACTCTGAAAGGGAAGAAATAAAAAGATCAAGAAGAAGAATCAGGAAAAGGAATGAGTAATATAGAAAACCTGGATAAAAGAAAGAAAGATGTGGATATGAAGAAGAAGGAGCTAGAAAAAATATGTATAAACATTTGAAATGTCAAGAACAGAAGAATGAAATTATGAAAAAGAAAAAAATCTAACATGATAAGAGAAGAAGAATAAAGAGAAAAAGAAGAAAAGAAAAGGAGAAGGAAGAGAATGAGAAGAAGAAGAAGAAAGAAGAAGAAGAAGAAGAAACAAGAAGAAGAAGAAGAAAAAAAAGAAGAAGAAGAAGAAGAAAGAAGAAGAAGAAGAATAAAAAGAAGAAGAAGAAAGAAGAAGAAGAAGAAGAAGAAGAAAGCAACGAAGAAGAAGTATCATAAACTGTAGTGAATAATGTAGAAACATTTGAAATATCAAGAACCGAAGAAGGAAAATAAGAAAAAGAAAAAGTCTAACATGGCCAGAAGAAAAGAAAAGAACATAAGGAGGAGGATGAGGAGGAGTGGAAAAGAAGAAGACGAAGAAGAAGAAGAAGACGAAGAAGAAGAAGAAGGAAAAAGAAGGAAGAGAAGAAGAAGGAGAAGAATAATAATTATGAAATACAGTGATTAATATGGAAATAATAACCTGAATAAAAGAAGGAAAGATGAGAATATGACCAAGATGAACAGAATAAAAACATGTAGAAACATTTGAAATGTCAAGAATGGAAGAAAGAAAATTAAAAAAAGAAAAAATCTAATATGACCAGACAAGAAGAAATATAAGGAGACGAAGAAGAATTAGAACAACTTCTACAAACACATAACCTGATTGTTTTTCATTCTCGTGCGAAAACTTTCATTTATTTATTCCATCATTTAACATTAATATTATTGTTTCTTTTGCTACTTTCTCGTCGAATTTTATCTTCTTTTTTCATTTTCCCCGGCTATTTCTGTTTTGCCAGTTGTTAAACTAAGTTTCCACGACTTTGTTTATTTTTCCCCTTTTTAAGTGTTTTCTATGCGCATACGTGATATTTATTGTTTCAAGTCGCCATATTGTTTGGCTATTTTATTTGTTTTTAGAAGAGATGATTTTTTGCAGTATTTCCATCTCTTAAGAACACATCAGTTTTTTTTTCTTCTTTCTGCATGCCTCATTTTCTTCGTGTTCGCTACTGGTGAAGTAAAGGTCGGCCTCAGAATGACAAATGTTGTTCATTACGTTGGTTAAATCAAGTGACATTTTCATAAGGATATAGAATCATCATTGCGAAAACTGTTAGCAAGAAGAAGCCATTGTTTATTTATAAAGTTGTACTGTGTACGAAAAAGAGCCGACTTTTTCAGGGATTGATTGTAAATTTCTGTTGCTTATGGGATTTTATAGGATGTATAGGCTGGCATATTACAGAATAAAAACCATAATATTTATAATATATACAAATACACACACACACACACACACACACATATATATATATATATATATATATATATATATATATAAGGGAGCAGAACTGTAGTGCTGAAATATGAAAACTACTGTGTAACGATTTTTAATGTTTTTTTTGTTTTAATCGTATATAATATATAATATTAAGCTCTACTCTGTATTGAGCCTTGTTTTTAGAATTAAATGCTACAGATAATGAAATTATACCCCATTAGTTCTTATTACATACCTGTATATATATGTGTGTGCGTGTGTGTGTATATATGTGTGTATAGCGTTAATATTTTATATTATATATTACATATACAACTGAGAGTATACGATATATAAAGTTCTATATTAGAGAACAATGTTAGATTACTGAATGAGAAAATAGATCAAATTCTATCGTACGCATTTCGTCCTCCGTAAGCAGTTCATCGGACGAAAGTAATGTTCATATTGCTTTCATTCAATAACTACATTACTTCAGTCCTAGGAAGAAATTTTGAGGTTGAAACGTGTTATGCAAAATGTTTTCACTTAGTTATTCTATTATCTAGTATTTTTATTATAATATTGGCAGCATTACCCGGCGTTGCCTGGTATTATTAAAAAATGATCGCGAACCTCATCCAATCTGTAAAGTTAAAATAAAGATTTCTCTTTAGTGCCTCTTATTTATATGGTGAAAAATTATAATGACATGAAGTGTGAAAACATTTATAACAGTAAAAAGTTGTTTTTTACAGAAGCACAGAAGATACAAAAAAATTGTCAGCAAATGAAGAGTACATTAATCGCAATCGATCTTCGAAAATTGTTGATGAGAAATGCTTTGTTGACAGATTTTTCTCAGACTCCATCGAATGAACAACATGCATTGGAAGGAGAAGAAATTCAACAAAAATTTCGCCTAGCAGCCGTGCCAAGTGGGAAAACCAACGTCCACAAAGACTGTGTAGAATCGTTCTTTGCACCTTAGTTTCGACAGCTCGAGTAGCAGTAGTTCTGGCAGCGTTCCCTCCTCGTCTAGTAAACTGTTGCTCATTAGTTTCTGCTGACCTTGCATTAGCTGTACGAATAGTATTTTGTGTTATTCTAATTTGAATTTCTTATTGCGAAGCGTTTCTTCTCCGTGCTTTCATGCGTTTGGCCGTAGTAGTAGCACGTCCAAGTGAAGGATTTCGCTTTCTTGGCATTACTGTCAGGCTGTAGTTGGAGGGGTTTGGCTAAGCTTTTTGAATAAATAATGAAGTAATCAATTAAAAAGCAAAAATATTATACACATTAATGGAAATATAGCCACAATAAATAAAATGCAAGTTTATAAGGGAGACCACGGGAACATGGTAAACAATTATAAGCAAGCTCGTAAAGTTAGGATTTATCTAAAAATATACTACCAAAAAAACAACGTTCCAGTGATAAAAATTAAGGTGCAGCTAGAAACCTACTCACTATGAACATTAAAACGTACACGCTAAGTTTAGCATAATTATAAATGAATCGAAAGAGGATCTTTACATTATTATAAGTGCATTTTTCCGAAAAAAACTGTCAAAATTTTAGGGATATGTTTCCAAATATATGAGTTAGCAAGCATTATTGAAACGCTGATTAGAAGATGATAAATACATAATTAAAAGTTGGCATATACGGTTAAACGTTTTTAATAATATGATTTTCACAAATTTGAATTTAAATATCAAAAATTCAAAATATACATGCATGAAAGCAGCCTACCTTTTTACTGGATGACAACATTGATGCGAATGAGATTTTTTGCATTTATTTCATCACATAGCACTAATGAACACTACACGTGAAGCAAAAGCGACAGTACGCACTACTTAACTCGATCGACCATTGCACGTGAGGCAAAATCAATTGTACACACTACACATCTCGATAGATCTCGCATACGCGTCTTATAACTACGTACACTTCTCTCATCGGTGCACAGTTTCGTTTGCAGTTATTCTTTTTTTTTCTCAAGGAAGGATATAATATTTGCCGTCAAGTTAATGCAAACTAAACTATTTCAGTACAAAAACGGGAAATCCATGGGAAAAACTGTTAATTTTCATAATGTATTTATGGCACATGAGGTGTCAGTTTCGATTTTGAGTTGATTTATCTAAACACAAATTATGTGAAAATTTTCATCGGAACCACAATTAAAAGACTAATAGGGCAGCAAGGTGTTCATGGGTCATCTTGGGGGTCTTTATGTAGTTTTCAAAACTACATAATCGTTTTTGATTCATTTTAAGATTGTAACATATATGTAAAATTCCGTCGAAATCGAAGAGATTTGAAAATCTGGGGGTCCCTTTGTTTCACCCTAGGGGTCCCAAATTTCAAGCCAAAGGACAGGTTTAAGACTAATAGTAATTGAAATAATAAAGCACATCTTTTTTAAGTTTTCTATTTAATCGACTTTATTGCCAAGGCTGTAGAGTTAATTGAAAATTTCAGGATTCCCTGCTGTTCCCCTAACTCTTGGTGGTATCAGTGTTGATTTTCAGTGAATTCCAAGTGACTACTTCAGTTACTCGATATAATCTCAATATGTACTGAAGTTTTCGTTGAAATTGGAGAATTCTGCTTAATGTCGAAAATAAATCTTGGTCATCGCAATAACAAAAGTTCAACTAATTTGCACGCTTTTGTTGGATCAAATGCTCCCATAGCAATGTGAAATTCTGGATTAGTTCTTTTGGTTCATGAATAACCATTAAGGAATAATATAGGTATTTGTACTTGCTTTAAGATTTCGCGATCACTAATAGGAGAGTAATTTGTTGCTAAGTTGATAGCAGATCTTAGAAGATTCTCGGTGATGGACAGGTAAAAGTCACAAATATCAAAATTGGATGAACGTATGGCTTCTGCTGTTTCTTGGCACTGGTTAATTCCTAAAGCATTTTTCGTGTGTTTGTATAGTCTTTCAAGCATGTCTTTCCTGATTTTACCCATATTATTTTTATTTGGGTTGAATAATCTGCATTGAGTTTTGTTTAGAAAATTTGGCTTGTGGTCATTAACCATGATGGTTGCTAATTGTTTGTGGAATTTCTAAATTCTGTCATCATTTTTTTTTATTTCGTGTCTATTTTCATAGCTTCACTATTGCTGTTATTTGCTCTGTGCCTTTTCATAAATAAAATAATAACTTATTTGATAAAATCTTAGTGGCCCATATACACAATGATTTCGTAATGGCTAACCGACTTTTCTGCTTTGATAATTATTTTAACTTATTTTTATCATTGAGACGTATTTTATTTTACATTTTTGCAGTAAATCGTTGGTAGTTTTAGCGAATTTAATTTAATCCATTACCGGGAATAGATATTTCTCGACTCCCAATAAGTATTCTTCGGATAGTGGTGCTTTGATATTGTATTGCAAGCTAGCATACATTCCGATAGCAATCTCAAATTTTATTTTGGTTCTTCTGAAAATCCTTGGAATAAGACCACGTATTACGGAAAACTCCTTGACATATAAACGTTTTCGACTGCGAGCAATTCTTTCATTTCACTTCCGTTTCATCGTCCCTACATTTCAACATGCTTCTTTGGAAATCATCCCTTCAAGGTTTAAATGTTTTTTTTCCTATTTCTATAATTTTTAAAAAAATTTTGCTGTGTATTCATCTTCTTTTAGTGTGTGTCATGAACCAAATAATTTGTTTTATTTATTAGTTTTTTTTTTCTAAGTTATGAAAAATAATTTAATGTTTCTTTTCGTTTTTATGAGTTAAATACAATAACTTTAAAAAAATAAAAACCATTAAAGTGTAGCAATTAATAATAAAGAATATAAATTAATACTAAATACCATAAAATTTCAAATTATATTGTAATGTCATTACATTTCATATTACCTCAGTTAGTTAAAAATTTAATAACTAAGAGTGAGATAATAATTTAATTTTTAATTAAATAACTGACATAATATAATTAGAATTATTATATTATCTCAGTTACCAATTTCAAAATTTAATAATTGAGAGTGAGATAGTTATTAAATTATCTCTCTCTCAGTTATTAAATTCATAACTGTGATAATATAATGATCTTATTTATCATAATTTAATAATTGAGAGGGAGATGTTTATTAAAGAATAATCTCATTCTCGGTTATTACATTGATAACAGATAATATAATTTTATTATATTATCGCAGTTATTAAATTAAAAAATTAAATTCAGATAATAAAATTATTATCTCATTTATCAATAAAAATATTTAATAACTGAGTGAGATAATTTAGTTATTAATATAATAATTAATAATTTTATTAATTATTATCTCAATTATTACATTAAAAATGTAATAGCTGATAATATAATAATTAATAAAATTATTTATCATTATCCACGTTATTAAATGATGCAATACTATTATAGAGGTAATTAAAAAAATTAAGAATATTATAGTATTTTAATTTATTATATTATGTGGAAGCATCTTCAAAATTATCTAAAAACATTCAATAAAAGATTAGAAAATTGCTTCAAGTATTTTGTTAACATTAAAATATTACCTGGTAGTTAAAAAGCAAAAGCAAACCGTTCTTACTTAGAAATTGTAAATTTATGGCAATTCTGATCAACCATACTAAACCTGTCAAGACATTAGGCCATAAAATTATCAATGAACAGGTGAGAATAGCAAGACCCCGTAATCAAGAAATGCTTGTCTAGAAAATAGTATACTATAAGTAATTAAAATTTGTTTCGGAACAGAACAATTTAACTTTAAATTTATTAATTTTACAAAAGTAACGTTTCAGAAAT